TAGTTTTTCACCTTACTTAAGGGACCACATGGACTTCATTCAAGTGCCACATCGATCACAATCTTTCGCGCAGTCCAGTCCCAATTTATCTTGTTCTATCTTTTGGCCCGTTTTTAATCCCAATCTTTTTACCTTCACTATCCGGAACAACAAATCAACGTGGTATATAATCCCTTACTTCGGAAATATTCTTTTCATTTGATTTTTCTTGGATAGAATTTGCAAACTTTGACTCTGATATATAAAAAAACACATTATATTATAATGTAAATTTAATATCAATATATTTCTATCAAAACGTAGTTTTGATATATCAGATTTTATAAAATATATCTATGTATAAATATAGATATTACTCCGTAATTGTCAAAGTGCAACACTGGAGACTGTGAAAAAATCGAACGAGAAGAACATTTTCGGACAGAGAGTATTGTATTGATGACTCATTCAATCTTTCTTTAGTTAAGAAGATTTTTTAGGGAATTAGAATCAAATTCAACAAAGTTAATTATGATGAACAATTTTTGGTTGGTAACTTAAAAATTGGATCTTGTAAGGTAGTATGATTTTTTAAAATGATGCGTAGATTTAGTGAAAACCTAAGATGTCATCGGTGATGTTTTTATGCTATGCCCTCAATCACTCAATATACATACATACATACATACATACATACATACATACATACATACATATATATATATATATGTGTGTGTGTATATATATTTATTTATATATTTATATATATAAACGTAAGCTCAACAAAAAAAGTTAATTTTGCACTAAATAGTACTAAAACACGTCTTTTCCTAAATGTAGCATTCAAAATTTTTTATTTTCTAAATAGTACTTTTCTAAGAGATATTTTAAATAATACGTAAATAATGTCTAGTGGCAGTGGATATTTACTTTGAGCAATGCTCATTAAATTGACGGCTGTAAACATTTACTTGAACAATGTCTAGTAAATATTAAATAATGGTATTAATAAATTGGGAAATTAAAACATATGATACTAAAAAATAAAGGGAGTATATTTTGTGAACTTCATTTGTATCCATTGTGTTTCACAAAAATTTTCTTATTTTAATTTTTTTTCTTTTTAATTTTTTTCTTTTCTTTTTTGAAAAGAATATACAGTTCAAAAAAATTAAAATATCTAAACAAATTTTAAGGACTCGCTTTTCGCTAACATCTTCTAAACATTTTTTTTAATTTGCATGAAATTAAAATAAGAAAATTTAGGGTCTATTTGGCAAGAGATAAAAATTAGAATTTGTATTGTAAATAGATCATTTAATGACGTCGTTTCGTTTTAATATTTCTAAAATTAATTTACGCCATTCGAAATTTATCGAAAAAATTGACATTAATAAAAAAGGGTATGCCTAATATGAAGGTGGTAAAGATTTACTTTTGACTTTAGAGGTACAAAGTACCACCCAGAAAAAAAAAGGTAATAGCTAGACGTGAGAATGTGAGATCCCTCTATCGAGAACACACTTAATAATAATAATAATAATAATAATAATAATAATAATAATAATAATAATAATAATAATAATAATAGTAATAATAATAATAATAATAATAATAATAATAATAATAATAATAATAATAATAATCATCATCATAATCATAATCATAATCATAAAATAATAATATCATTATTATTATTATTATTATTATTATTATTATTATTATTATTATTATTATTATTATTATTATTATTATTATTATTATTATTATTACTACTATTATCATTATTGCTGAGTAAAACTTATGGAGTATCCGATCCCAGTTTTGCATATATATAGGCCCCTAACAGGTCGGTAGAGAGAAACATTAATGACGCGGCTGAGAATATAACAAAATGACAAGAGCTGAGAATCTCTTAAACCAAATTATGTTACCATATGGTTGTTATTGCTTTCTTCTCTTATTACTTGCATTACTCACCAGTGACGCGGCTGCAGCCACCAACAACTTCCACACCATTCCTCTCTCCTCTCTCCTTCCTCAATCCCAACAGTCCAATTGTAATGGTCGTGCACCTTCCTCACACGGTACGTCATCAATCATTTCTCCATGCATCCTAGCTAGCTTAATTGGTATGAATATTTTTCTCCTTTAACTTTACGATATCGATGTAATTTTCTTCTCAGTTTGACTTTCCCCCATTTTTAATTTTTGGCTTTGACTTCAAGTTTTATCCTCCTTTAAAAAGATTTTTTGAAATTTTTTTTTGCAATCATTCAAAATATAGAGTTAGAAAATAATTTGTGTAAATACATGAGGATATTAATGTCATTTGTCATCTTTTTTTTCTAATGAGAAGGTAGTTTTAGGACGGAGAAAAAGGAGAAGTGGGAAGAAAGGTTTAGGACGGAAGGAGTATTTTTATTTATATATCGATATGCATCATATAAACTGGTAACATTTCGTTGTTGACACTATCTTTGAGTGTCAACATATCACATCGACTCTAATTATATTGTAGCAACAACAAAGCTTCAATCACAAAATTTATGATTCTTACTCTTCTAGCTAGTGAAAAAACGGTGTCGTTTTGGAATTCAAAAGAAAGTAATAACCATCTTCTCCCCCTCAAACCCTCTATCTCACTCTAAAATCTCAATCGGCACCCTCTACCCCCATTTTCCACCCATAAGCGAAGCTGCGAAGATTCCGTTGGAGCTTCCGGTACCAATCAGGGCTGGCTAGGACTGTTCGGCTCCAAATCCTCCATTTCGGAATCCATATAGTCCGATCCAAATAAGTTTGCTTCTGACTTTTTAGGTTATTTATTTATCCGTTCATTCAATAATACTCTAATTTACTCTCTCAATATATGACTTTGATGTTAAAGTAATAATGAGGTTAGGGGAGTTTTTCTCTTTTTTAAGGGTTTTAATTTCTAACATGAACAAGTGGTAGGTTATTTAATTTTTTATTCAATTCCAAACAAGCTCTATCAAAAAGTACTCCCTCCGTCCCTAAATAAAGTTTCATTTTTCACTTTTTGAAGATTTAAAGGAAGGATATTTTTGTGTTGACTTTCAAAAAATACCCTTGATATGATGTGTAAAAGTAAGATGTGATAGGTAGATTATTAGTAAAAAGGTATGATGTGATAAGTAGGGTATGAAAAAGTAAGAGGTAAAAGAGGTTTTTTAAGGGAAAAAAGAAGTTTATTTGAAGACAAAGAAAAAATGAAAGTGGAAGTTATTTAGGGACGGAGGGAGTAAAATAGTTTAATTTGATTTTTATTGATTTTGTAAATGTTTTAGAAAATCATATTAATACGAAGTACTCCCTCTGTCTCTGAAAACGTTTCTACTTTCTTTTTTCATCCGTCCTAAAAAATACTCCCTCCGTTTCTTAAAACCCTTCCTCTTTCAATTTTTTTGTTTTTCTTAAAACACTTCCCTTTTTCTATTAAAAAACCACTTTTACCCCTATTTTTTCATACCCTACCTATCACATCATACTTTTTCACTAACAACTAAACTATCACATCTTACTTTTACCCATCACATCAAGGGCAAAAGTGGAAAGTCAACTACAATTTAACACTTCCTTATTTTCTCCCAAAGTCAAAAGAGGAACTCTTTTGAAAAATGGAGGGAGTACTTATTTCTATTAAAAGTCATTTTTACCCGTTACTTTTTCATACCCTTACCTATCACATCATACCTTTTTACTATTATCTACCCATCAAATTCTATTTTTACCCATCACATCAAAGGACATTTTTGGAAATTCAATATCAAAATACACTCTCCTTAAATCTCTTCAAAATCAAAACATCTCATGTTTAAAGGGACGGAGGGAATAATATTTATCATTTTGTTTTGTTTTTTATTTTTACATTTCTTTTCGCACCACCTCCGTGAATTTCCTAGCTCCGCCACTGCCTATAACCCCCTTAAATCCCCACCGCTGCCCCTTCCTTCTTTGGTGATTGATTGACTACAATTCAAAATATTTATTCCATAATCTGTAGTTAAATTTGTACAATACTACCTCCATCTTTGAGTATTTGTCCTGTTTTGATTTTTTTCGGTCAACTGTTTTTAATCTTAGCTTTGACCTATAATGAAATAAAATATAGTATATATTTTGTGTATTAATTAGATAAAATTACATTTTGAATATATTTGATATAATAAATCTAATACAACTATTTTTGTATCAATATCTAATTAATACTCCCTCCGTTTTTGAATATTTGTCTACTTTTGACTTTCAGTCAAAATTGGTAAACTTTGACATTAAATTAAATAAAAATAATATTAGATATTGATACAAAATAATGTTATTAGATTCACTATATATGAAATTTGCACTAAATAGTACTAAAACATATGTTATTTCCCAATATAGTACTTAAACATTTTTACTCCACAAATGATACTTGAATAATGTCTAGTGGCGAGAACAATATAATGTCCAGTGATGTTGGATATTTAGTTTGAACAATGTCCAGTGACAGTGGACATTTACTAGAACAATGACCAGTAGACAATGACCAACGGTACTATATTGGAAAATAAAAACATGTGGTACTACTTTGAAAAAGTTACTATGTTTTTGTAATTTGTATATTAAAAAATTATAGAAATTATATATTAATAATTTATATGTTAAGACGAATCAAACAAGATCACACATGACTATTTTTAAGAGAATTTGATGAGTCAAAGTGCTTAGATGAACAGTTCCAAAAGTCAAAAGTGGACAAAGACAGTGGGACGGAAGTAGTACAATATATATTTTATCTAATTATAGGTCAAAATTGAAATTAATTGACCAAAAAAAGTCAAAAGTGGAATTGTGGTGAAACTAACATCATTGTTCAAATTTAGTTGGAGGAGCGGCAGCTATGGAGGTTCTTCACAGGGATCATCCCTGTGCCGCCTCAACACATGATGACTCCCCCCAACTTAGCAAGGCTCAGATTCTGGCCAGGGACGAGTTGCGAGCCCGCTCAATCTGAGCCCGAGTCAGCGGCAAGGCCAATCGCCTCAGCCAGGAGGACGCCGGCGGCACCGATCTCCCAGCTGAATCCGGCCTCTCCCTTTCTACCCTGAGTTACGTCGTCAACGTCAGCATCGGCAGCCCTGCGACGACCCTCTCCCTGGTCTTCGACACCGGATCCCCCATCACCTGGACTCAGTGCCGCCCCTGCGTCAAGGAGTGCTACCCGCAGAAACTTTCCATTTTCGACCCCAGGGGTTCCAAAACCTACTCCAACGTATCATGCTCCTCCCCCCTCTGCTCTGCCCTGGGTTACTTGAGAGGGAATTGCTCGTCGGCCACCTGCGTGTACGGGATAGGGTACGGCGACGGGTCCTACACTGTGGGCTACTTTGCAAAAGAACGATTGAGCTTGACGCCGCCGTCGTCGGATACCTTCGACAACTTCTTTTTCGGGTGCGGGCAGAAAAACAATGGACTCTTCGGCAATGTTTCGGGGCTTCTCGGCCTCTCCCCGGGCAAGTTCTCGGTCGTCTCTCAGACCGCAAAAGTGTACGACAAAATCTTCTCCTACTGCCTCCCCACGCAAGACGGAAACGGAGGTTATCTGGAATTCGGGAACAGGGATGGAATAAATAACAACAAATTGATCCGCTTCACGCCATTGACCAAGGTGAACAACGACACGTCTTTATACTACATCCAACTCCAGTCCATCAGCGTGGGCGGGGAGAGGCTCCAGATTGAGCCGGCAGTTTTCAGCAATGTCGGAACGATCATCGACTCCGGCACCGTCATAACCCGGCTCCCGCCCGATGCGTACAAGGCGCTCAAATCCGCCTTCGCGGGGCATATGATGATGAAACATTACACAAAAGCACAAAACTTTTCCCTATTTGACACCTGCTTCGACTTCAGCAAGATAGGCAGCGGGGGTAATATTACCTACCCCAAGATAGAGTTCCACTTCAGCGGGGACGTGACTGTGGAAATACCGTCCACCGGGATCTTATTGGCGATCGACAAGGAGTTAACCCAGGTGTGCCTGGCCTTCGCCGGTAACGAGAAACCCGATGATGTGGGCATTTTCGGAAACACGCAGCACCAGACTCTGGATGTGGTATACGACGTCAAAAAATGGAGGCTCGGCTTCGGGGAAGGCCGCGGTCGCTGTACCTGATGCATGCATGCATGCATGTTTTCTTTTTCTTTCATTTTTTAACTAAGTTTATCAAAATTGATCGAGTACCCTATTTGAGTATTTGTAATTGTACTCTACTCTACATCCTTCTATCTTGTGTTATGGTAACTAATGTGATGTAGTAGTAGGGTAGTCTCCCTAGCTCGTCTCGATCTCTTCTCTTGTCCTGTCTTGATTTCATTCTACTGCAGTATTCTTTCGAATATATATACAATGTTGTTGTCGTTTGTGTTGACATTATCTTTTTGATTAATTTTTTTTGTTTATGTTAGTATAATGAGAAATTTACATATATAGGACTAAAACATAATAACTTTCTCAATATAGGACCATATATTTTTATTTTCCAATGTAGGACTTTTGGTCATTATGAGTTAGTCATTATTCAAGTAAATTAAATGCCCATCATTTCTGAACATTATTCTTCTCACTAATCATTATTAAGTCCTATTTAGAGAATAAAAAAGTTTTAGTCCTATATTGGGAAATGACTTATGTTTTAGTCCTATTTAGTGCAAATTTCACTTGCGGCTATATTGCATTGAAATATAAGTCATTTTCTAATGTAGAACTTTAACTTTTTTATTTCCTAAATATTACTTAATTATAATGTCTAGAAGTAGGAATAATGTCCATTAATGGTGAACATTTACTTGAATAATGACTAACGAATGATGACTAAAGTGCTACATTGGGAAATAAAAATATATGATGCTATTCAGAAAAAGTCATTATGTTTTAGTCCTATTTATGTAAATTTTTCCAGAAATAAATTCTTTTTCTCTCTTCCTGTTTTTGCAAAGCTTACCTATAAAATTCTCATTTTTTAACAGATTGCATCTATCCCCGCCCCTCCCGTTACATTATGTTTGGTTCAAGGAATTTGAAATGGAAAAGAAAGAAAATGAGATGGAAAATAATTTTTTTTGTTTGGATAGAGAGGAAAAGAAAAGTAGAAGGAAAAGGAAATGAAAAGACAAAATATATTAAGATGATGAAAATCAAAGTTCTCCCATTTTAGTAAGAAAAATGAGAAAAAATATTTTTTCTTTTCTTTTCTTTTCCTTTCAAATTTCTTGAACCAAACATAGTGTTAGTAAATTTCTGGTATTTGTATTTCAGGTTCATTGAGGACAGCTCATGTTTGATAATATGAAATATTGGTGTCCATTTTCTAGATTTTCTTTGTTTTCTTCTTTTAACTTTTTTTATTCTATTTTTACATCTTTCTCTTTACTTTCCATAAAGTTTTTTTTTTAAAAAAAATTTATTTTTTAAAATTATGTTTTGTTATGTTTTACTCCCTCTGTTTAGAAAAACATTTTTTCTTTCATTTTTACCCTTCTTTGTCTTACTAGAAAAAGAGGACAATTTTAAAAACGAACAAAATTAATTATGAATGAATCATTTAAACAAGATCATTTAAAAAAGAGCATATAATAGAAATTTTTAATTTTTTATTCACACAAATATTTATATTCAAACCTATGATGAAACATTTTAAGAGATTCATTTAAAAAATAACCAAAATAAAAAAAATGAAATAACCAAGCAGTAAAATAAGCAGTTCGTGTATAATATATCGTCTGGCAATACAATTTTTCAGGAAGCTAAGTACATATTGAAAAATTCTACTCCGTAATTTAAATAACCAACCAGACCACTAGTATTTTAGCTGTATTATCATTTTTTTTAATTTGTATTAATGCCATGGTGAATAATTATCATATTTTTAAAGCTTTTTATTTGTTTGAATTAGGAAGAAAGACTAAAATAGGACTAAAACATTGAAATGTAACAAAACAGAACTTCCATGTCTTTTGTTCCCGAAATAGGACTTAAAATGCATTTAAATTACCAAACATGGTCATGTACATTACCAAAAAGTATAGCAATGTGCACATGTACAGTGCCACATTACAACCACATTATCACAATGTGAAGTCCTATTTCGAGAAGAAAACATGAAATTCCTATTTTGATACTTTTGGATCTCTATGTTAAGTCCTATTTAGGGTAATTTCTATTAAATTAATACTCCGTAATTCATGGGTGGCCCGGAGGGTGTGCAAATTGGCCAATCGCACAGAGCCTCTAAAATTTTAAGGCCCCATATTTTTAAATTTGTTAATAATTTTAAAGGAAAGGTATTCTAAAAAAATAAAATAGGGACCAAAATGTAAATTTAGGACCGGGCCAATTTTATTTTTTTCATTTTTCGGGGCTAGCCCTGCCGTAATTGTTATGACCATAAAAGACTATTATGTACGAATTGAAGTAAAAAAGAAAGAGAAATTTACCTAAATAGGACTAAAACATAATGACTTTCCTAATATAGGACCATATGTTTTTATTTCCCAATGTAGGACTTTGGGCTATTAACAATTAGTCATTATTTAAGTAAATGTCTAGCATTACTGGACATTATTCCTCCCACTAGGTCATTATTAAGTCCTATTTAGGGAATAAAAAAGTTTAACTCCTACATTAGAAAAGTCATTATGTTTTGGTCCTATTTAGTGCAAATTTCACAAAATAAGGAACCAAAATTGCTATGACTAAAACAACATTCACCATATGTCCCAACTTCAAAAATTTAACAAATACAAACAAATAATACGAAGTATAAAAGATAAGGAACCAAAGTTGCTATGAGCCTCTGACCAAAACATTCACCATATGTCCCAACTCCCAAATATGACTTATATTTGTGTATCCTCAAAATAAGACTCTTATATTGTGACAAATTTGTATTAGTAATGCTAGGTTCACAAATATAATGTTGACAAAATTTACAAATTTACCATTTATGATTTAAAGTCTCATTTTAAAATTACTTTTGACTACTTTATTCTTTTCTAGGAATTCAAAAATAGTAAGTGTGAATTTTGTGACCATTTTATTTGTGAACCAAGCATTTCTCAATTTGTACAATAACTTTTTGGTAATATATGAGGATAAGATCAGATTAAGAGTAAATATGAAAAAATTACCAAAATAAGAACTTTATGTTTTTTCCCCAAAAATAGGAGTGCAATACCCATAATACCAATATATAGTACCAAAATACTGTGTAGTAGGATGCCGATATATAGTGTTGTAATGTCACCGTACCGTGCAAACTTTTATTTTGTAGATAAAAATTTGTAAATTTTAGAAATATGAAACTCCTAATTTGAGGATAAATTGTTATTCCGTATGTTTTATTCCTATTTGGAGTGATTTCTTTATTATATACTCCCTTCATTCCACAAAACCCTTTCTCTTTCATTTTTTTGCTTTCCACAAAACACTTCAACTCTCTGTTAAAAAACCACTTTTATCCCTACTTTTTCATACTCTACCTATCACATCATACTTTTTCACTAATAGCCAAACTATCACATCCTACTTTTTCCCATCACATCAGGGGAAAAATTGGAAAGTCAACAAAAATTACACTTTCATTATTTTTCCCCAAAGTCAAAACCGGAAGGTTTTTGTGGAACGAAGGTAGTATTAAATTATTGGTATTATATATTTAATCTTGGAGAAAAAATAAAAAACCTTTATCTTGGTATATTTTCTACCTCCCTCCGTCCCAAAAAGATTTACACGTTTCAAAAAAATTGTATCCCATAATCACTTACTCATTTCTATTAAAAAAATCACTTTTATCCCTTACTTTTTCAAATCTTACCTATCACATCATACCTTTTTCCTAATAATCTATACATCACATCCTACTTTTACTCATCACATCAAGAGTATTTTTGGAAAGTCAACACAAATTTATCTCTCCCTTAATTTCAACTTTAGTCAAAATGTGTAAGACTTTTTGAGACGGAGGATTATTAGCTTTGAAAACAACGGCCGGATTACAAGCGTAAGCGACTCAAAGACTTAACGAGAGTTATGCTTTTTAAATTTGTTTTCTTAAGAGTACTCATATAATTATTTTTTTGCTTTTTGACTTTTGGGATTTGCATGGCCAAAGGGACTAGACCCGCTCCGTTTTTAGAAAAGTCTAATTTTATACGAAGTATATTTTGCTCCCAATTAGGTCTTTTTCTTATATAAGATCCAAATAAAAAATATAGATATTCTTATATAAACAATGAATTCTTATAAATTAAATTAAAAAATTACCCTCAATAAGAGTAAAATTTAGAGAATGTACTAAAATAGTAGCTTTATATATCTGAAATAGAAGTTTGCATTGTGATAATGAGTCACTGTATATGAATATTTCACAATAATTTTTGGCATTAGATATTTAGATAATTAATATTATAAATAAATTTTAACTCTTATTTTAGAAATAAAAAATGAAAACTTTGATATTGTTATATTTTCTATTTTTTATTTTTATTTTAGTCTTTGTTATATTTTCTATTTTTTATTTTTATTTTAGTCTTTCTCCAAGTATTCTCCAAGTCTCCAACAACTAGATTAGTAGAAATCCTTCCCTCGCAAAAAAGATAAGTAGAAAGTAGAAACCGTCTCACCCAAGCTACCTCTCGTCAAATTATTAGCTTTGAAAACAACGGCCGGATTACAAGCGTCAAGCGACTCAAAGACTTGACGAGAGTTATGCTTTTTAAATTTGTTTTCTTTGGAGTACTCATATGATTATTTTGGGCCATGCTACATTTACCGTACAAATTATACCCCATTTGTACATCGTAGTTATACACAAATGTTTTGATGGTTTACACCGATACAAGTGTTGGTGCGTTAACAAAAATTTACACGGACACAAAGTGTTTGTGCATTAACAAAAAATTAGTTTTACACCAACACAAAGTGTTGGTGCAAACCTGCGGGGTACAAAGTGGGGTACAAAAACTTGGAGTACAAATAGCTTTATCCAATTATTTTTTGCTTTTTTACTTTTGGGATTTGCATGGCCAAAGGGACTAGACCGGCTCCGTTTTTAGAAAAGTCTAATTTTATACTCCCCCGTCTCAAAAAGTCTACACATTTTGACTAAAGTGAAAATTAAGTGAGAAATAATTTTGTGTTGACTTTTCAAAAATAACCTTGATTTGATGTGTAAAAGTAGAATGTGATGTGTAGATTATAAGGAAAAAGATATGAAGTGATAGGTAGGGTTTGAAAAAGTAAGGGGTAAAAGTGGTTTTTTAATAGAAATGGGTAGGAGATTGTAGGACGTAATTTTTTTGAAAGGTGTAAATCTTTTTGGGACGGAGGGAGTAGTTCTTTAAAAAATAAAAATATT